ACTGAGACGCTGAAGCTGATCCCGACAATTGTGCCGGGATCCGCCCAGCTGCGTGACTGACAGCTGGCTCTGCCCATCTAGAGGCAGAGCCAGCTGTACCTGCCCCCTCCCCCGTCCGTTCTGCCAGTCAGCGCTGGAGGATCGGAGCGGGGAGGGGGGAATCCAGCCCCTCCCCTGTCACGGCAGAGAGCTGTGACAGGATCGAGGTGAGCGAACGCCGGTATGTGTTCGCTCACCTCCCGATCTACTGAGCCGACCTGTGACAGTCTCATTGTCACAGGTCGGCTAGAACTATGAGGTGACTGAAAAGCACCCCCCCTCATAGTTCTCCTTTACCATTAGAGCCCCAGGTGCCGTTATAAACAGGCGCACAGATAGCAGCTATTTGTCCCAATGGTTTTTGTAGGTGCCGGTGGCATCTAGCGCTGGAAATGCTGGCTGTGAAAGATAGAGGAATCTAACACTAAGTCCAGGAGCTGAAATGATCGGTTCTTGGTCCTTCCACAGATCACTCCATACGAGCACCTATAGAAGAGAATGTAAACAATGCTTCTGCTTCAGGAATATTCTGATGTCATGAGTGATGTTATGGCACTTCCTGTTAGTATGGGGGCTCAGGCAGAGCTGTTTCAGGAACAGGAAGTACCTGAACAAGGACTGTGGCAAGTTCATCGGGGATTATTTTAATGAAAGGTGCCGGTTTACAAAAGACTGTGCATAGGCCTTATAGAAAGTGTTGGGATTCCTCTTGTGCGACAGCCGATACGTGACAACAAGTGTGAACGGGGACAAAGACTTGTTATTTTTTTTAACTTCCGTTAGCGGGCCAAGCTGTCCAGCAAAACCATTTACCAAAGACAACTGTCAACTTTTATTCATACAGTAAAAACCTTCATCTCTAAAGGAAGAGAAACTGTTTTTGTAACCGTGTTAGGCCTCGTTTACACCAGATGCAGTGCGTTCCGGCCTGATTCTGGCCAGAACGCACTGCATCGCATTGCGGCCGGCTCACTTTTTTCTTGGGCAGGAGGGAGCTTGGCGGGCCATTGAAGTGAATGGCATCACCCTCCGGCCGCAAGGGATCGCAAGGCACATTATGCCTGCGGTCCGGTGCAATCAAAATGCTGCAATCACATAATGTGCCTTGCGATCCCGCGCGGCCGATCGCATTGCGGCCTGAGGGCGTGGCTACAGTGCCATTCACTTCAATGGCCCGCCATGCCCCCTCCTGCCCCACAAAAAAGTGAGCCGGCCACAATGTGAAGCAATGCGTTCTGGCCAGAATCAGGCCACAACGTACTGCATCTGGTGTAAACGAGGCCTTATGTGGAGTTGGTCTTGAATTTGTTAGCCACCTATGTATCTGAAGTCCATCAAACACTTACCTGCCCACAGGGTGACTATGCAGCTGTGCAAGGGTGGCTACATTGATCCTCCATAGATATAGTGGAGGAGTGAACATTGCCACCCTACTGGGGTTACTGGCAGGATTATGAAGTCCAAATAAAGAGGAAAAAAAGAAAACTAATGCAGCCGCCACATCTAAGAACCAGCAAGCTGCAATGTATTCCATTTCTTTCTGTTCTGGGGTTCGGATACACTTTAATGATTGCGGCATGTTCCTTTCCTGCTTACGATGACATTTTCTTGCAGAACAGAAGTTCAGAGACTTGCTCATCCGGCCTCTCTGAAGTGATGAACAAAGCCCTGGTAAAGAAAAAGGGACATTTGTCAAACGTCCTACATCACACGCATCAAAGGCTGCGGATTCCTCCGCGCCGACTGACAAGCGTCATATCCCCCATCTGCGAACGGCTGCGCGCTTCGGCCTCCGCATTAATAATAATACGCGCGTTCGACTCCTCGGGGAGATGATAGATCCGGTAAACAGATGTTCATATCGCCGCATCCGTAAATCACAAAAACTCCTCGTCTTGCCGCCTGTCCAACCGTTCCTCCTGTATAATTAATGACCAAAAACAAGCCTGGTCTCCGGGAAATCTCAGAACGTTCGGACCACGGGGATTTACATTTTTTTCTTCCTTGGAATAAGAGCTGAGCGGGGAGAGAAAGATGAAATGGTCACGGCGCAGCCACAAGAAGGCCGATCGGCAAAGCTCCCAACCAAATCCCAAATCCCTCCGTTCCTCATTCCTCCTCAGTTTTCCCTCTTTTTTTGGCCTGATATATAGACCTCTATTAAATATACAGTATATGATTTAACCCCTCAGTGACAAACCTTAACGCCTCAACCCAGTTTTGCAACGATCAGTAAAATTGTATTCTTTGTAACCACTTAGGGGGTTAATTTATAAAGCATTTGCCCAGTGTGTAGTTGGGCGAATGCCATTTGCACTTCATTACTACCACCAGATGGAGCTGAGGAGCGTAGGAACTTCCTGTGCTTCTTGGCTCCATCTAGTGGCAGCAATGGCGGACGAAAGCTTTATTAATCAACCCCGAAAGCTTTATAACGGGTTTGCCCAGTGTATAGCTGGGCGAATGACGGTCGCACTTCATTACTACAACCAGAGGGAGCCGAGGAGCATAGGAATTTCCTGTTCTCCTTGGCTTTTTTTCGGGGAAACACGATATGAGGTGAGTGAAAAGCACTCACCTCATAGTTCTCCTTTAAGTCAGGTATACTGTACACGCTTATATTTTCTTAATTGATTTGGCCTCCTAATGTTCCAGCTATCTCTCTAATGGATTTCTTTTTTTTGCAGCCATAAACAGGCCACGCCACACACATAGATGATCTGCAGATTTTCTATGGTCAGATGGAAAAAGTGCAACAGATTCCTCCATCTACGCTAAACTGTGTGGATGGAGGAATCTCCCACTGGGCCAAGCTTCAGTATCTTGCTAGTCGGCCAGCCTGGCCCAGCGGGAGATTCCTCCATCCACACAGCTTAGCGTAGATGGAGGAATCTGTTGCACTTTTAACATCTCACCATAAAAAAATCTGCAGATCATCTATAGGTGTATGGCCAGCTTATGGGTGATCCTGTTTCACTTGCACTGAGAGCTCCTCTGAACGCATGTTGTCGGTGCACAGCGACAGCTTCCAAATACGAACACCACACATGGAATCCACTCCAGACCATTTACCGGCTTCATTGATGATGAAAGAACGAAGGAATAGCCCGCACCTGTCCATGGAACGGCTTGTTTAGTCAATTGTCCAATTACTTTTGGTCCCTTAAAAAAGAGCTGTATTTCCCAAACCCTTCCTCCAATATGGACGTGTATACCCTCAACTTAAACCTGAGAGCAGGGCCGGATTTACTCTCTCTATTGCCCCAATGCCAGGTTCCACAGTGCTCCCCTCCCCCTGTATGGCTGCATACAAATGATCTCAGCGACCTCGCCGGGATCACTTGTACAAAACAACCGCTGGCTTCCTCGCTGTACATTTAGCTCTGCTTGCCCAAAGCCGGGCTAAATGTAGAAAACAACTACCTACCCGGCGCACGGAACTGCATGTCCTGGGTGTCGGGAGATAGGAATTCCACACCCCTGCTGCCCCAAGGCCGGGCCTCGGTTGGCCTTGTGGGAAATCCGGCCCTGCCTGAGAGACCGCACTTTAAGCCCAGATTCTTTATTTAAATGTAACTTGCATTTATTTTCATAAACAGACAAAATAACAAAACTTGTGTCAGTGTCCAATTATTTTCAGACCTTTTTATATATACTGTGTCTATTTTCTAAATGCTTGTCTGTGATTTCTGATTGGCTAGTATGAAAGGTTGGTGGTGAGGAATCTGGATAGGTAAAGCAAACCAAATGCAGTAGAGTTTCTGTTATTCCCTACCAGTCTGGCTGTATTGTTTATCCTCTGCCTTCAATACTGTGAGTCTCAGGACATGCATTCAGCATTTTTTGCAGCCCCTCCATATTTTCTCTATGTAATCTACTGAATTTTGCTCTCCGGCTCCCCCTACTGGCTGCTCATAGCACATACAGCCGCCAATGACAGAGACTCGGCTGAATTCTGCGCTCAGGCTCCCTCTACTAGCTGCTCTTAGCACACACAGCCTCCAAGAACAGAGACTCGGCTGGGTTCTGCGCTCAGGCTCCCTCTACTAGCTGCTCTTAGCACACACAGCCTCCAAGAACAGAGACTCGGCTGGGTTCTGCGCTCAGGCTCCCTCTACTAGCTGCTCTTAGCACACACAGCCTCCAAGAACAGAGACTCGGCTGGGTTCTGCGCTCAGGCTCCCTCTACTAGCTGCTCTTAGCACACACAGCCTCCAAGAACAGAGACTCGGCTGGGTTCTGCGCTCAGGCTCCCTCTACTAGCTGCTCTTAGCACACACAGCCTCCAAGAACAGAGACTCGGCTGGGTTCTGCGCTCAGGCTCCCTCTACTAGCTGCTCTTAGCACACACAGCCTCCAAGAACAGAGACTCGGCTGGGTTCTGCGCTCAGGCTCCCTCTACTAGCTGCTCTTAGCACACACAGCCTCCAAGAACAGAGACTCGGCTGGGTTCTGCGCTCAGGCTCCCTCTACTAGCTGCTCTTAGCACACACAGCCTCCAAGAACAGAGACTCGGCTGGGTTCTGCGCTCAGGCTCCCTCTACTAGCTGCTCACAGCACATACAGCCGCCAATAACAGAGACTCGGCTGAATTCTGCACTCCGGCTCCCCCTACTGGCTGCTCACAGCACAGACAACCGCCAATGACAGAGACTCGGCTGAGTTCTGCTCTCCGGGTCCCCCTACTGGCTGCTCACAGCACACACAGCCGTCAATAACAGAGACTGGGCTGAGTTCTGCGCTCAGGCTCCCCCTACTGGCGTCTCCAGGCACCCGCAGTCGCCTATCACAGAGAATCGACAGCGTCCTGCTCTCCGGCTCCTTCTGCTGGCGGCTTTCAGCCCACACAGCTCGCACGTACAGTGCTCAGACTACAACTCCCGACACGCACCGCTGTCTCGCTCTGATTGGCTAGGCCGGCAATTAGTATCCGCGATTGGCTGGTAGGTGTTTGCCTCACCTCGTCATAGTGCGCAGGCGCGGAGCTGTCAGTCAGTTAGAGTCTGCTGGAGATAATGGGGGGCAGCGAGAGCACCGGGAGGAAGGTGTCCTTCGGGATGGATGAGGAGGACAGGGTGCGGGTGCTGCGAGGAGTCAGGGTGAGAGGAAGTGGTGGGCTCCTCGTTTGGGGGTTGGGAGGGAGGAGTCACCAACACCTCATGGGGAGTGCTTCTTTAAGTGTCACGAGGAGTTACCCCCCACACAGCAGTGGTCTCCCTGGAAATGTGAGCTCTGCGGGGAGTGCCCCTTTAAGACTCCATAAATGCAGCTGTATGTGCCAGTCGTTGGTGGCAAACTGCATGCGGGGTCCATAGAAAGCTTCGTGTGTGCTTTATTATGAGGAGTATTGTTTTAAAAGTATGAGCCCAGCTGTTTGAACGGGGCCTCCCTGTATTAAACTGCATGTCCCTCCTCTTGGTGAGTGCCCCTTAAAGAAGCATGCAATATAAACCACATTGCATGTGGTTGTGCCTGTGTACTTCATGAGGAGTGCCCCTTTAAGACTACAGTCCTGCTGGGCCCATTATTGGCATGTTCTTATAATAAATTGCAGGTGGCCACGCTTGTGTGCTTTGTAAGGAGTGTCCCTTTAAAACCAAATTCCTTCTAAACCCATTATTGGCCAGTTCCTATACTAAGTAACCTGTGGCCATGCTTGTGTGCTGCATGGGGAGTGCCCCTTTAAGGCTGTAATTCTTCTGAGCCCATCATTGACATAATAATAAATTGCATGTGGCCATGCTTCGTGAGGAGTTCCCCTTTAAGATCACAATCATTCTAAGCCCATTATTGGCATCTTCCTGTAATAAATTGCATGTGTCCACGTGTGTGTGTTTCATAAGCAGTGCCCATTTGAGACCACCGTCATTCTAAGTCGACTACTGGCCATTTCCTATAGTAAATAACATGTGGCCATGCTTTTGTCCTTCATAAGGAGTGTCCCTTTAAGACCACAGTGATTTGCATGGATTGCCCCTTTAAGACCACAATCTTCCTATTGTAAATAACATGTGGCCCTGCTGAAGTGCTTTATAAGGATTGGCCCTTTAAGACCGCATTCCTTCTAAACTCATCATTGGCACCTTCCTATAGTAAATTACATGTGGCCATGCTTGTGTGGTTCATGAGGATTGCCCCTTTAAGACCACAGTTATTATGAGCCCATTATTGTCCCTTTCCTATAGCAAATAACCTGTGGCCATCCTTGTGTGCTGCGTGAGCACACAAGACCACCATCATTATGAGCCCATTATTGGCATCGGCATATCATGAATAACACGTGGTAATGCCTTTGTGCTTTGTTAGGAGTGCTCCTTTAAGACCACATTCCTTCTAAACCCATCATTGGCACCTTCCTATAGTAAATGACATGTGGCCATGCTTGTGTGCTTCATGGGGAGTGTCCCTTTAAGATCACCATGGATTGCATGGATTGCCCCTTTAAGACCACAATCTTCCTATTGTAAATAACATGTGGCCCTGCTGAAGTGCTTTATAAGGATTTATAAGGCTTTATAAGACCGCATTCCTTCTAAACTCATCATTGGCACCTTCCTATAGTAAATTACATGTGGCCATGCTTGTGTGGTTCATGAGGATTGCCCCTTTAAGTCCGCCTGCCATGGCAGCTCCCACATTTTTATACTCACAGGTTCACTTTACAGGGGGTCCCTCACACAGTAAAGTAGAATGTCCTAAAGCAGCCATTTTCTACACCTCGTAATCCTTTGGGTGGGGAGGGGGTAGTGATGTCACATGCGTTGTCTCCGGATCTGACCCTTTGCTTGCCCCGGAAAACTTTGAACAGGTCGGAGCCGGAGATACAAATCCAACATTGTCCCATTTCTTCCAGCTAACCGATGACCTTGTCAGCCGAATGAGGGAGACTTCCGCACAGAGCAAGGAACAGAACCTGCCACCTACACCGGACCGTCCACCGCCTCAGCAGTCCTCCCTTCCAAGGGGCGGACCTGTGCCCTCTGCGTCAGATCACCGAACCAAAACCGACGGTAGGCCATTTTTTGGGGGGGCAATTCTATTGTTTAATGTACGCAAAATATGAGGACCCCGGCCAAAAAATGTCTAAGGAAGAAGTGCTGGGATATTACACTCAAGCACAGGGGTAGCCAAAACTGCAGCCCTCCAGCTGTGGTGAAACTACAAATCCCATGATGCATCTCTCTCCGGGAGTCGTGGCTGTGAGAATCTTGCAATGCCTCATGGGATTTGTAGTTCCACCACAGCTGGAGGGCCGGAGTTTGACTACCCCTGTTCTAGCATCTGTACAGTTAAAGTGACGGTAAACTCAGGAGTTACATCTTAAAGGAGAACTATGAGGCAAGTGATTTTCACTCCGCCTTAGGCCCCATTCCCACTGCGCGATATGCAAATCGCGCGTTTGTCGCGCGATTTGCATATTTGCGCGACATCGCGAGATTTGCCGCGCGATGTCGCGTTCAAGCTTGCATTGAGCAAGCTTGAATCGCGGCTAAATCCGCTCCAAAAAGGGTCCTGCTGTAGCGACACACGACCCGCGACAGCAGGACCCTTTGCCCCAATGTATTGCATTGGAGCGCGATATCGCGCGGTAATTTGCCGCGATATCGCGGGAATTACCGCGCGATAAATCGCTCAATGTGAACGGGGTCTTATAGTTCTAGCCGACCTGTGACAATGAAACTGTCACAGGTCCGCTCAATAGATCGGGAGGTGAGGGAACGCATACCATCGCTCGCTCACTTCTCGGTCCTGGCCCTGCAGAGAGCCGTGACTGTCACTCACGGTCCCTGCAAGGATTCACCCCGCTCCGATCCTCCAGCGCTGACTGGAGGAACGGAGGGGGCGGGTACAGCTGGCTCTGCCTCTAGATAGGCAGAGCCAGCTGTCACTCACGCAGCTGGGCGGATCTCGACAGTAATGTCGGGATGTGTCCCAGCTGCGGCGGTCTCAGTATACCGCGAACTGTAGCTCCCTATATACTGAGCTCAGGGTGACGGGAGGACGCTAGTTTGTGTCCTCCCATTACCCTTAGGAAAAGCCTTAACCCCATAGTTCTCCTTTAAGTCCCTGAACTATTAACAACAATGTACCTTATTTGTGTATCATTCGGCTGTAGATTCTCCAATCATCTCTGAATTGGTGCTGACACTGTCCTTCCTTCTGGAGGGTGACTACTTTTGTCCCCCATGGTCCCTGTCTGTGTTGTGTGTAGTCACCGCTCCAAGCTCGCTCCTGTGATGGACTACAATCTCATGTTTAGTTTTCTAATTTGTATTGGGATTGTAGTCCATCACAAGATTGAGCTTGGAGGGGTGACTATACAACACACACAGGGACCATGGGGAACAAAAGTAGCCATATATAGTCGGTTCTCTCCCATTCCCCCTTAAGGAGGAATGGCCTGCCTCCTGGCGAGCCTGCAACCAATTCATCCTTTGCTTTATATGCTCCAAGATGGAGGCAGTAGCATTAGGCAGACGAGGGAAGCTCCTGAGGGACACTTCAGCCTGTGTAGACAAGTGACTGACATAGAGGCCAGCCAATAGCATGTGAGAGGGGAGGAGTGCTCTGGCCTTAGGTTACATACTGCCCGATCATTCTGTGTTTGACTCTTGTAGAGCACATATCTGTATAATGCAGAGTACAGAAGCAAGTAAAGAATCCGCATTACTAGCAGGCCCGCTTTGTGCACACTGTTCATTGTTAGAATTATAATGCTGCAGAAAACAACAGTTTTAACAGTGCCTGACCCTTAGTCTTTAGCCCTGTAGGACGTGGAGTAACGAGTTCTTTGTTACAGGTACTCGGGGTCCATCTGCTGCAGGAAGCAAACAGATGCCTACGTATGCAGAGGATGAACTCTACAGGAGGTAAGAGTCCTTTATTAAAGGTGACCAGTTTTGGGGACGCTGTGCCCAGGAAAGGCAAGCGGAGGACAAGGACTAGATCTTTTCTTCATTACTGACTTACTAAGCCTTGTTCTGCACTGTGTCCCTGTGTGATGGCCACCATCTTGGTAGAGGCAGAGATATGCCTGCTCATGTTAGAGTTGCCCCCCTGATTAATGATGATCTAATGACTGGCGAGGTAGTGATCAAGAAGCAGCAGAAGAAGACAAGAAAGCACAGATCCAGAGAATGGATGGAGCGGAATCAGGTAGATCCTTGCACTGCAGGTCCTCAGGCACAGCTTCTTCTCCAGCAAGGAGAGGGAGCAGCACAGTAGTTATATCACCAATTCTCAATCCAAATCATCTGAGACCAGCAGTCAGAGGCAGCAGTGTCCTAGATGATCTTGCACTACAGTCATACAACTATGAGGCTACAAAGCCAAAGTGCCCAAGCACAGTCTTACTTGATAAATGGAACCTGTAGATTTTATTGACAGATCCACTTTAACCTCTTAGCCCTCATTCACACTGTAATCAGCCCGCACGTACAGCTCCGTGCTGCGTGCAGGGCCGTACCGAGCAGCTCCGGGGAAGGACAGGTGCTGCGTGTGATTAGTACGCAGCCCTCGTCCTTCTCTATAGGAATACGCGGCCGCACGCCTCCCTACGCTCACCCGCCTTGCACGTCCGTGCGGGTGAGCATACTCGTACGCTGACAGGATGGAGCCTGTCTGCGTCCGAGCGAGGAAACGCACCCCTACGGACCTGCACTTGAGGTGAGTGTAGAGGGGCGTACAGCCGCGTAGTCCCATAGAGAAGGACGGGGGCTGCGTACTAATCACACGCAGCACCTGTCCTTCCCGGGAGCTGCTCGGTACGGCCCTGCATGGAGCTGTACGTGTGGGCCGATTACAGTGTGAATGAGGCCTTACGCTAGCTTTGCCATATTAGACACGTTTTGAATTTGGTTGTATCATTGGTTCGGTGTTAAACAGTCAGGAATTGGATAACTTGGTGAGAAAGAAGATTGGGTGGAGATGTTGGTGCCGGCGAGGGAGTGAGAAGGGGTGAGTTTAGTTCTGCTTTAATCAGAGAACTCTATGACATTTGCGGCTATCTGACCCAGCGCATGCTTTTTGCTCTTTCTGATCTCATTGTTTGTTTAATTTTGCACTTTCCTAGATATGAGAGGGAACAGGCCATCATCCAAGAAGAGCTCGCCCGAATCGCCAAAAGAGAGCACGAGGCAACGCATGAGAGTTACAGCTCAGCCATCCTGCGGGAGAAGAATTACACCAACCAGGAGCGCCGGAGAGTTGAGGTGCTGGTAAGACTCAGCAGCTCTTATGCTGTTTCTTTTGTATTAATGTGACTTTATATTTGTTGGGGTTTTGGTTTGGTTTCTCCATTTTGGCTTTATGTCTGCAAAATAAATAGTGACACGGTGTAATGTCATCCGTTGTTGTTCATGTGAGGTTATACTTGCCTAATTTGAAGACCTGCTAAGGACCAGATGATTTTTATGATGCCCTGATACTTAGGGTTAAAACTAGGGAAGCAGCGATACCAGTTTTTCAGTATCGAGTACCGATATTTTTTTTCCAGTAGTTGCAGATAACTAATACTGATACGGAATGTCCCATTAAGGAAGATAGGCGGCGTGTAATTACTCGCCACCTGGCTTCCCGATTTAACAGGGAAGCCGACTCCATGCTCCCTCGTCACCAGGTGATGAGGAAGCATGGAGCCGGCTTCCCGGCCAATCTGGGAGCTGGGCAGCGTGTAATGACTTGCTGCCCGGCTTCCTGATACCGGAAGCTCAGGTATCGCGGCTAGGCATCGGAGCATTTGGGCGAGTACGAGAACTCGCCCAAATACTCGGCCATCGGCAGCGATACTACTATCGGTGCATCCCTAGCTAAAACCATAGAACTCAGAGTGTGTACTTTCTTTTTCACACGACTGTATATGTAAAGTCTGAGCTTGAGGAAACCACCATAGCAATCCTACAACCTTTTGGTACTGTTATGCACACTCAGACGCTAGGAGTCGGTTATGTGAGCTCAGTCAGTTTGCAGAGCATCAACTTCAGGTGATCTCCGACACTAAAGCTACAGTGTCAGGCCCAGACGGGGGGGATATAAATCTTTTTATAAGCCGGCCTGCACACTTCTAATCATTTAAAACCATTCCGATTCTTTCATAAGCTAAGTCGTGATTGGTTCGCTTCTTTTTAAAATTCTTGCATTGGTAAAAAACATTGTGCACTTCACTGGTGCTAAATTCACACTTTCAGAGCTGCGCATGCACAGCACGTTGTACATTCTCTGCATAGCTCAGTGCTTGAGCACCCATTCACACCAGATCAGACCAAACCTCTGTTGACACCAGCTCAGTCCGTTCCAGACCAGAAAAATACTGCACGTCTCATTATTGTTTTGTCTGGAATGCACTGGAACTGCAGGCAGGTTCACAACACTTTCTGGACCAGATCTGCTCCGGAAATTGGTGTGAACCCGCTCTGAATGAACTCCCTTGCACATGCGCAGGAGTTGTGTTATTCCAGCCTGGCTGGATAGCCAAAGATCCCGGAGCCGAAAGAAGATTGGGTGGAGATGTTGGTGCCGGCGAGGGAGTGAGAAGGGGTGAGTTTAGTTCTGCTTTAATCAGAGAACTCTATGATTAAGCCCAGTGGTGGGTGAAACGCGTCAATCGAGGTACCAGGCAGGGCTTCATGACGTTTGAGCTGAAATAATAAAGTTTATAATATAGTGTTGAAGTTTACGGTGTGTTGCTGACTGCTATTCTCTGGATGCGTTGACAGTTTGGGGTGAAGACAAGCCCCTGTTTGGCATTTGCCGGCAGTCGGCCGGGGAAGGGATCTACTATGTAGGACTTGAGAGCAATGGGAAACTTTTATGCTGAATTCACATTGGCCTGTTTTCATAAACAGCCTTCATTTCATTATAAAAGAAGGCGATATCACAAGAAGTGATTCAAGTTTGCTTTGTTGTGTTTGCCAACGTCAGCCTTTCGGCCTCGACATGCATCCATGTTCTAGAGCAGCGCCCTGCTAATACAAGCTTTGTTTTATGCTGTGGTGTTCCGTCTTCATCTTCCGAGCTTTGATGGAGGTTAGCCTGCAGAGTGCAGCGTCTGAACGCCTGCTGCTGAGTCGTCTCTCTGTCGTGTGGCTCAGCCTTGGAAACGGTTTTTAAAATAGATCTCACTAAAATCTCGTATGAGCTTTAACCGCCTGAAGACCAGGTGTTTACACCCCCTTCCTGGCCAGGCAATCTTTCAGTATTCAGCGCTGCGGTACTTTGACTGACGTCATCATGTGTATGTATGGGTGGGGACTTTAAAAAAAATGTTTTATTCTTTTTTATGTGTAACTTAAAATTTCTGGGGGGGGGGACTTTAATTTTTTTTTCCTATATTTTTTTTTTTCACTAAACTTTATTGCTATCACATACGGGGGCTAATAAAACCTCCCTATGTGATAGCAAAATATGTGACAGGTCCTCTTTATGGAGACATCAGGGGTCTCCAAGACCCCTAATGTCACCTAGGACCCCCAAAAGAAGCTGATGAAGCACAGATCTGCTCCATCAGCTTCTTTCCAGCTTCTGAAGCTGGAGAGTGACACAAGAATGCGGAAGTGATGTAATATACAACACTTCCGCATCCTGACACCAGAGAGGGGACTGGAGGGAGCTCGTGTAACCTGTATGGTAACAGGCATCGCTGCCTGTTTTAAAATATCGGCCATTTCCCCGCTGGGCGCGTCTGAGCGGACGTCTAAAGATGCCCGCTCAGATCTAGAGAGCTCCCGGCCGGCCGTTAGGTAGTAGTTAAAGTGACACTAAACTCAGGAATTAAATCCTAAAAATAAGGAATGCTGCGATACCGCTGTCTTGGTATCGAGTACGAGTACCAGTCCTTTTATTTTGCTACTCCCAAATGCCGATACCGGAAGTCCCATTAAGGAAGCCAGGCGGCGTGTAAAGACTCGCTACCCGGCTTCCCGATTTAGCAGGGAAGCCGTCCCATGCTTCTCATCACTATGTGACGAGACAGCATGGAGCCGGCTTACTGGCCAATCAGGAAGCCAGGCGCCGTGTAATGACGTGACGCCCGGCTTCCTGATTTGGCCCGGGAAGCCGGCTTCATGCTCCCTTGTCATGATGTGACGAGGGAGCATGAAGCTGGCTTCCCGGCCAATTAGGAAATCGGGCACCACGTCATTACACGGCGCCTGGCTTCCTGATGCGCTGCGCGGCTTCCTGATGCAGGAAGTGTCGGGCTAGCCATCGGAACATTTTGGCGAGTACAAGTACTCACCCAAATACTCGGCCGATACTAGTATCGGTATCAGTGCATCCCCACTAAAAATACATCCAAGTAGCTTTTAACCATTAACAGAAATGTATCTAATTTGTGTCTCACTCGGCTGTAGATCCTCCAATCATCTCTGAATTGGTGCTGACACTGTCCTTCCTTCTGGAGGGTGACTACTTTTGTTCCTCATGGTCCCTGTGTGTGTTGTAAAGTAGTCACCGCTCCAAGCTCATTCCCGGGATGGACTACAATCTTATGTTTATTTTTCTAATTTGTATTGAGATTGTAGTCCATCCCGGGAGTGAGCTTGGAGCTGTGGCTACTTTACAACACACACAGGGACCATGGGAAACAAAAGTAGCCATATATAGTCAGTTCTCGTTCCCTCCCCAATGACATCAGACCACATCCAACTGGTTAGATCTGATATGATGTCATCAGTGTGCGACCTTCTGCTTTCCTACTCTCTTATCCAAGTGTTTATCATCTGCATACCACTAATATTCTTCCTGTAAACCTTTGGCTTGTGCTATATTTATCTAGACGATATAAGTATGCATAAAGTGAATCATCCCCCCTGACATCCCATCATTTCTCATTAAACAGACCCACACTTAAACCCCGTCTGCATTTATCGCCCTGGATATTAGATGCTTTTGCTGGCGTAGTTATAAAAAACAAGCACGAGAAAGGGACGCTTTCAGGACAGCGTGTACAGCGCACTTACATTAACTAGGCCGCGCTCTTCATCATTAATTCATGGTACCTCGCACACGTTATCACTAGCGAACTGTCGGGAAAGAACCCCGGGCCTCAGCGTCATCCAAGGACGTCCGAAGCTTCCGCCGCGTGTCTTCCCTCCTTCCTCCGTTGAAAAATTAATTGCCGCTTGTAGAGATAATCTTATTCCCTTTTTTTTTTAAATGTTATTAGCTCCCGTGTAATTATCACTTACCCTCTCTTGTCTGGCTGGAATTTTACAGCGTCGGATGCTTGCGACGCCTCGGCGGCTGCGTGAATACATATTTCTCACCTGTCTCGTCTTGGTGACCTATATTCCGGCGGGTGCTGGTTGAAGTTTGTTACCTCATGCAACTTTTCAGCTCACATTGCGCCCAATAACACACTCGCTCACATTTGCGAGTGTGTTATTGGGCACTGGAGAGGACATGGACTGCACTTTGCAAGCTGTGGTATTAAAGAGGACCTGTAGCTAAAAATGTAATGAACCTGGATCAGTGTAGCCTTAGTGAAACAATGAATGATGGAAGACCGGCACCGCTGGGTCCGAGCATCCAAGGGTGCTGCTCTGCATCCTGGAACTGGCATTAAATTTGTCTTCCAGTTCCTTGGTTTTAGAAAGTCAGCAGCCCCGCTGATTTGTAGAATGCTGTGTAGGTGCCTCCTAATACTCTTACATTGCCTCATGGGATGGGGG